TGCTCTCTCCTGGCGACGGGTGCCAAGCCGTGGGGCGGAGTCTCTCCGTCCTGGCCTCTGGCTGTGGTGCTTTGCCTGTTTTCACCGGCCCCCCCACCTCCTGAGCTGAGCATTGGCCTCCTCCATCTCCAGGGAGAAGCTGGACTCCTTCCTGCCGGCCCACCTCTGCCGGCGGAGCCCCAGGCTCTTCGCCGCCCTCCGGGGCCGGGGCACCAAGGCAGGGGCTGGTGAGCAGGGCCTGCTGAAGGCCTATCAGGAGGTCAAAGACATGGTCTGCGGCGAGCACGAGACCCCCCTGAGCACCCACTACCGCGCCTACCTCCTCAAGTGCCACGAGCTGCCCTTCTATGGGTAAGAACCCAGCTCCCACCTACCGAGACCGGGCCACGGCCCACCTTCGTGGGTGGCCATAATCGCAAGGGTCTCCTCTGTCCCCGACTCCGGCGGATCCTCGACCGTACCTGAGGAAGGGCTTGACCTTTCACCTCAGGCTCCAAGCCCCTCCTCTCCCATCTCAGGCGAGAACACCTCTGAGCAATCCGGCCACGGTTCCTGGGCCACTGACCAGAGGCCTTCCCATCTAGCACTGTGTGCGGGCATCTGCTGCCTAGGTCTTGTCTGGAGGGGTCCCTGGGATCCCTCAGGGTGCTGAGCAGCCCCGTCTCTGCCCCTGTGATGCACACACATGTTAGTGGGGGGGAGCCCCCCAGTATCTTGGAAGGTTCCAGGTGATGTGGAGCGGAGGGGAGGCAGGCGGCGCTGGAAAGTGGCGGGTGAGCAGAGAAGTGAGGAGATGAGAGAGAGGGCCAAGCTGGGCCCACAACAGTGGGCCCAGGGGAAAGCTGTAGGGTGGAGCCCGGGCTGATGGGGCCAGTCCCGCAGGACTGTGGGCCACCCAGGGGACTCAGGCTTTGACTGAGTGCTGTGAGGAGGCGCAGGTGTGACGTGGCTCTTAGGCCGTGAGGGGCGGACAGCACAGTGATTGATGGGTCCACAGAAGGATGGAGGGGGGAGGCAGGAGGCACAGGAGAGGCAGCCTGGTTGGTGGTTGAGATCCCAGGGCCCACACCCTCCTGGTCCCAGCACCCAGCCGCTCAGACCCCATCAGACCTCCCAGATCTGGCTGGAGCAGAGCCAAGACCCTTGGGGCCAGTTCTTAGTGCTGGTGGGCAGCTGACCCCAGGTGTGCCCCCTTCTCCCCCCGCAGGTGTGCCTTCTTCCACGGCGAGGTGGACAAGCTTCCCCAGGGCTTCCTGCACAGGGGCGGCCGCAAGCCAGTGATGGTGGCCATCAGTCTCGAGGGCGTGCACGTCATCGACTGCCGGGAGAAGGTACCCTGGGGGCGCTCTGGGACTAGGCCCCTCTGCTCAGTGTGCTTGGGTGCTGCAGCTGGGGTTGCTGCTCGGACCCCCTCAGGGAGAAAGGCCCCCTTACTGGGGCCCCTCTAAGGCCAACTCAACCATCCTGCTTCTCCCCGACGAAGCCTCCCAAGCCCCTGTCCCCAAGGAAGGGCCTTGGCCACTGCTGGTCAGATGTGTCCCCTGGGGAAAAGGCCCCTCCCTGGTGTGGCTTTTCTAGCTGTAAAGATGTCCCCAGGTGATAGTGGAGTGGACTGAGTTTCCAGCCCCCTGGGCCACAGCCCCCTTTTTGAGGCTCTGAAGGAAGCAAGCGGGGACACCTCCTCCTCCCGCAAGAAAGGGATGGTGGCTCTAGAGTCTACCTCACAGAGGTAAAGACCCTCTTGGTGGCAGAGCCCAGCTGAGTTCCAGCCTCACCCTGCCCCCTGTCACCCCCACCCCGACCCCCCAGCATGTTCTGCTGGGCCTGCGCTTCCAGGAGCTGTCGTGGGACCACACGTCCCCCGAGGAGGAGGAGGCCGTGCTGTGGCTGGAGTTCGATGGGGAGAGCGAGGGTACGCCGGTCAACAAGCTCCTCAAGGTCTACTCCAAGCAGGTAGGGGCGCTGGCCCGGACTGGACAGCCTGGGCCAGAGATGCTGCTCCTGGGCACGGGGTTAGGGCAGCTGTGGGTGGTTTGGCTGTCCACTGGGGTCAGGCTGGGGACCATCTGTCCGCCATGAGGCCCTGCTGCCCTTCTCTACCCACCAGCTGGATAGCAGGTGGAGGAACTCTGATTCCCTCCCACCTCCCCTCCACCCCCCTGTCATCAGGGGCCCTCAGCCCTACTCAGGGGTGTTCCTGCCCCGCCTCTCTGAACCCTCATCTCCCCAAAACGCCTGCCCCTCCTGCCATCACTCCTCAGACCCTTCTAGAGCATCACACACCCACCCACCCCAGCTTTCCCAGCTTTCCCTTCTGGTCCGTGGTGTGTTTCCCCATCTGCCTTCCCCAGGCCACGGAGGCCTGTCTGGGGCGGGTTCCCCGCCGTCAGCTAGGATGGAGGTCTGGGCCCGGGCCCGCCATGCCTCATGCTGGCCCCGTCCTTCACAGGCCGAGCTGATGAGCAGCCTCATTGAGTACTGCATCGAGCTGAACCAAGCCATGGAGCCCCCCGCCCCCCCGGACTGCGGGTCTGGCCCCGCCACAGCCCCAGGCTCCTCGCCACCTCCCCCACAACAGCGCCCCAAGCTGCGGCGGCAAGGCAGCGTAGTCTGCAGCCGGATCCAGCACCTGGCCACCATTGACTACGTGGACGACGGTAAGCACCCCCACCCCCCTGTGAGTCCACGCTGGATCCCTTTTGCACCGTTGGGGGGGAGCGCTGGTGGAGCTCCGGGAGCCAAGGTTAGGCAGTGCTCACGACAGCACCATCCGTGTTCAGCGACCGGTGACATTCGGTCCTGTAGCCAACCACATCAAGCCAGGGTCACTTGTTTGGCTGTCAGTGCCAACCCTGAGACCCTGCTTACAGCGGGGCGAGCCACTGCCCGGCCGGCCGGCGCCATCCTCCCCAGCGTCTGTCCAAGCCCCTCCTTTCTCACTGCCCCTCCACTTGAGCCAGCGCAGTGCCCTTCTCCGGGGACTGCTCTCTCCTGGCGACGGGTGCCAAGCCGTGGGGCGGAGTCTCTCCGTCCTAGCCTCTGGCTGTGGTGCTTTGCCTGTTTTCACCGGCTGTGCTTCTTCCACGGCAGCGTGGTTCTTTGGCAGGCCGTGGTACTTCTCGGTATTCTTTGCTGACACGATCGATCGATCAGATGCATCGGTTCTTCTTCGGTCTCCCTTATTCCGTGTCCAACAGAACAATCCCCACGCACAGGAGGCGGCTGAAAACGCCCCAGCCTGGGTCTCGCGCCCCCTCTGCCCTCAAAATGGCAGCCTTGCTTCCCCCCACTTAGAGGAGGTCCCGTGTAGCAGGCGGGCCCCGCGAGAAGCAGGGTGTTCATGCGGGGAATCATATAAATATATTTGCATTTGCCAAGGGGTACATGGGGCTTTCCCGCAAACCCAAAGTGATTGCCAAATAGGTTTTTGTTTTTGTCGGGGTTTTTTAAGGGGGTAAGGCTAAGATCTATTAGTATAAAGACAAATAGAAATAACACGTGAGAGGGAGAAGACCCCCCTCAACATTTGAAAAGCCAGGGGAGAAATGTCTGTCATCGAACAACTCAGAGCTATTTGCACCCGCAACAATTTCAGATCATGTCTGATCATGGCCAACCATCGAGTTGGACCCAGCATAATCAAGATGACAGTGGTGTCTGCCGGCCAGGACGGCTGGTGGGCTCTTGACTTTGACTGGAGCGGATCTGCCAGCAGCGGGTCTGACCAGATACTCGGCAGATGGGTGTGGGGCTCCCACTGTCCTTCAAACTGGGGGTTCATGATACTTTTCTCTTTTTTTTTGGAGGGAGCACCCGGGTACTTTTCTCTTCACCATATTCGACTTTTGTACTTGTCGTCTTTAGATCACACAAGCTGGTGTGCCTCTTCTGTGTGGACTTAGCTGACGCCTGGCTTAGAATGGGAGATTTGTTTGTATATAACAATGATCTACATTTATATAACATGATGGCCACGAAATGATGCTGAATTTGAAATAATCTGGTAACAGAACAATAGGTAGAGGCAAAACTGCGTGTGTGTGATACACCACAGCTATGATCAGTTACTGTAACTCTTATTCGTAGTTCCTTTGTATCTCTTTGTAGCATTTCAATGTGTTACAATGAACAGGTCATTTTTATAATCATAGAGCCCTTTTAACCACTGTTGTAAGTGGCACAGTGGTTAAAGCACTCAGCCACTAACCCAAACGTTGGCAGTTCAAACCCATCCTCCCCTGTAGGAGGAAGATGTGACTGTTGCTTCTGTGGAAGCTGACCCCCTCGGACGCCCTTGGGGTCACAGGGCATGTGTGCCAACGCTCTGGCAGCGGGAGGGAGTGGTCTTCCCACACTCTATCTACAGTATGGGCACGGCACAGTGATGTCTCCCCGGTCCCTTAGTGCCTGGCCTGGTAGCTCGTGGCTGGTTTTCAGCTACTATGAGCCACCTACCCACTGTCATCAAGTTGATTCCAACTCAGAAACCCAGTGGAACAAAGTAGAACTCACTGGTCCTTGGGGTAAGTCTTAGATTGCCCAATAGGCCCTTAGACGGTAACTCTTTTCAAGAGCAAACCGCTCCAACTTTCTCCCCCCGAGGGGCTGGTGGGCTTGATGCTCATCCCCCTGTGCCAACCACCAGAGCCCCTAGAAGGAATGTACTCTGACGTGATCCTTGTTCGAATCCGAGGTGTCTCTTCCCGATAAGTTCCCAGCAATGGGGTTCCTGGGTCACGGTGGGTGCAGAGTTTAAGACTTTCTGCTCGTGGTCACCCTGCATGGACTCATGCCTGCCCCCCAGGACTCCTGGGCAGTTCCAGCAGGCCACACACCTGGCTGTTGACCACAGGATTGGGGGGGTGTCCACCCGGAGGTACGAGGGAGCGAGGCCTGGCGAATTGTTCAGAGGAGTCAGCTCT